TTCAATATCGTACTGGAAGAAGCTATCCCATATACTTCCTTTCCTCGCGAGCGGCGACTTGCGAGAGTCAGCAAGAGAACCCCTCAGATCGCTTAAACTTCCTGGTCTGTTCTTGGTCGGAGATGTCTCTGATCGTGAATTGGCTGGGCCTGACACGGAGGTCTTGCGTAGAGTTTGAAGCTGGGCGATAGAAGACTGTCGTAGTGTCAGCGACGTTGACGAATGGTTGCTATTAGGGGAGCTTAGATTTACAGGAAGCGAAAACCTAAGGTCCCCAAAGTAGGTCGCGCACATTGCCTCCATTTCCATCGTCTATTGACTTGTCCCCACCGTTCGTCGACGTCTCTCTTAGATGGCTGGGACCGTGTGCGCCAGCTGGACTCGCACCCCGTGTTGCCGTGGCGGAGTTAGGATTCGAGTCGGGACGTTCAGCTGGGGAGAGCGCTTCTGTTGAGTTGTGACGACCAACCAATGGTGCGCTCTTTCTGCTAGTTCCGCTACTGCGCCGACTATCAAGTGATTTTCCAAGTTGAGTTGCTGGATCCATGGAGGACTTCTTCTTTGCCTTTTGCATCTCGCCTTGTCCGGTTTCTAGACTACTCTTCACAGTAACCGCACCTTTGATACCTGGGGTACCAGGTGCCATCGCTTTCTCTTCTGTCGCCTCCAGTAGGTACCATCGTAGCCCATCAGACAGCTCGAAAGGATTGTCGTCCTCGAATGAAACCGCGTTGCTGGAAGCGACGGAACGACCGTCTAACGATGCTCGAGGTGCACCGTCGAGTGTCTTGGAGAGGTCGACGACGCGCTCTTCCACTTTTGATATGCGCGCCACAAGCCACTCTTTTCCACCCAATCGATGTGTGTCTTGTTCACGAAGGAAGAAGTGCGGCGCTCCAACATTGAAGGCAGCCCAAGGACGATGAGCATTGTTACGAGTCGGCAAGAACAGTGCAAGATCACCTTCCTTGAATGAACGATAGGCGATCTTGTCGTGTGAGTCAGCTTGGAAGCGATGGGCCTTATCCCGATAGGCTCGTGCCTCCTTCTGCCACTTCCGTGCCGTGTGCTCCATGTCGCGCATTCGCTTCGCAACGGCGTCACTAAAGGTTTCGGTGTTGAAAAGCTCGAGCTTCTCAATAAGCTCCTGGTACCGTTGGTCTTCTTCCTCTGGACTCGTAGCTTCAGTCCACTGAAGGAAGTGGAGATCTCCGACATCTTCTAAGAAGCGCTTCAGAGGAGTAGGCGAGGGCGTAGTAGTACTTCGACTAAGTCCCGCATTGGTGTCCGTCATGATAGTGCTGCCACCGAGCCTAGACGCTCGTTGAAGAACCATCTCACCGTTTTCATGGGTGATGACAAATCCAAGTGCTTCAACTAGACGAATAAGGCGCTCATGCTGTGTGTATAGACGTTGACTGAGGTCTTTCGCACGATTCATACGTTGGTGGGTGCGGGACGAATCAGCCTCTTCAAGCTTGCGCAGTTTCTTCTCTACCCGCATAAGCTCGACATCCAGGCTGTTGGCGTGCGAGTTTTTCTCCGCCAACTCCGTTTGAAGACGGCCAACCTTGGCTTCTTCTTCCTCAACACGCTTTCGCAGAGCTTCAGAGCCGGTCTCGCCTTCAGCAAACTTCTCGCGGAGGCTGTGCAGATGACTCCGTTCCTCCTCGAGTTCCGCAGTGATAGAAGCAACGCGAGCTCTCTCTGCGTCAAGCTCTTCACGAACAGCTGTAACCTCTTTCTCACGTTCGGCTAACTTAGTGTTGAGATTGTGTTCTTGCTCCTCGATCCTAGCATGAGCATTCTCGTTGTCTGACTTTGCCATCGCCAGGGCCTGCTGGAGTTCTTTCTGATGATCAAGTGATCGAATCGCTAGGTCTTCAAGCTGCGCGATGAGTGTGGAATGATCATCAGGTACACTCGTATCAGGAGAGAGATGGTTAAAGGCTGCAGTCAGCGAGTCCAGCTGCCGCGTCTTGACGGCGTTTCGTTCATCGAGTTCAGCTTGTAGGGCTTCAACGCGCTTTTCGGCTTGTCTGCTCTGCTCGGCAGCGTCTTTACGCGCCTTCTCGAGCTGAAACACCAGCTCCTGTACTCTGGCATCCACACCCGTTCGCTCGTTGTCTCGACTACCCAAGACACGATCCAGTTCATCTTCGGCTTCTTCGATTTTGGCTTTGTACGCTCGAATCTCGTCCTCAAGCGATTTACGCTCGTCGGCAAACTCTCTTTGTTGCGCTCTCATATTCTCCATGATGTTATTCTTCGTAGACATGGCCTCCTCGAATCGGCGTTGTTGATCTGCATCGTCGTCTCTCCGAGCTTGAGCATCATTCTCGAGTTTCGTACGAGCTTCCTTCTCTGCTGCTAGCTGCTGTTCGAGGCGAAGAATACGGCGCTTGTCTTCTTGTCCTGTGTTCGCTGAGTACCGTCTAGAGGAAATCGAAGAGCGTCGGGATAGCTCTTCTTGAGGTCTAGGTGAAGCGACTTCGGCTGTTGGCGTCGAAGGGTCGCCCGGATCAGGAATGCCAAAAGATGGCGGAGCGCCACCTATTGAAAGTCTGCTAACGGTACTCTGACGATGTACGAGGTCCTCCAGCCGACGGACCCTACTCCTGTAACCTTTTAGCTCATCCTCGAGCTTCGCGTTACCTTCCTTCAGCACGCGCAGCTCATCATCACCTCGCATCATGAGTTGTGAGGCCCTGCCAAAGGCCGGCTCATGGACACTACCCATCTTGAAATTCTTTGCACGCTTGATCTGCTGCTTCGTAGGACGGTCAAGATCCTTGATAGCCTGGGCAAATGCTTCGGCTTCGGATTCTTGTCCATCTAACCTCTGCAAGTCCTTGAGGTATTCTAGAAGCTCTTCCCGGGTAACCATCGGCCAAACGGTCTTCTCAGGTTGTATGTTCAACTCGAATCCCAGCGAGCCACCTTGCAAGGCGTCCAGGTTGACAACATCTGATATTGGCTTCAGCCACTTCTTACGCCGACGCTCTTCTTCTTCCTGGAAAGTTGCCATCTCTTCAGCGAGCGAGGATGTATCCTTTTCCATCCTTTCTGTCCACTCGCGTCTTCGGACGGCTTCGATTAGTAGTGTGCCGTATATGTACGGCAGACGACCAACGAGAGATATGAGCTCGAAAGCAGCGACACCATCTTGTGGTATACTAATCTGCTCGAGCTGCGCACCTATGGTTGCAATAACTGACTCAATATTCGCGATGGCCTGCATACTCTCGACAGAGTTTCTGATGGCAGTATTCTTTTGCTCGACAGCCCGTCGTACGAGATCGCTCATCTCCACGCTGTATTCTTGTATGGCTGGCAAAAAGTTTCGTGTATGGAGCAATGCCATTTTAGATACCTGCGCTACGGATTTCGAGCTTGCTTCTAGTCCCATGACATGTTCAAAGTCAGACTCGACCTTTTTCACGACGGCATCGATTTCGTTGTATAGGCGTGTAGGCTCTTCGGAATCGTCGGCGATGGATCGGCTCTGGCTCTGTCCCACGGCACCCAGGAGCTCGTTGTAATCGGCCTCGATTTTCTCTAGCTGCATGCGCATTTTGTCCATGTGCTTCCCAAAAGACTCTCGGACACGCTTGCTTGTCGATGTAGCCTTCTTGACAGCTTCGACGTCGAGGAATTCCTGAAGGGTCTTGCGAACAAGGGTGTTGTTGGGCACACTCTGTGGAGACCGCATCTCTTTGGCCAGGAAGCGCGTGAAGTTCAGGATGGCGGGAACGGTGCCCAGCTGTTCAAAGTCGGCATCAAGTCTCCGTATATTGTCCCCAGCTTCCTTCTCGACTCCATCGTACCACTCCCTGGCTGCCTGGTACTTCTGCTCTAAACCCTTGATGTGTGCATCGTGGTTTCCAACGGCGACCTGAGTCCCTCTCTCGATGGTGGCTTGTTCGGCGAAGTGATTCGAAGCGATATGGGACATGGAGTGTGACTTCTCGAGAAGCCCAAACGCCCAATCGCGGCGGGCTTGGAAGAGAGCCTGCCATGCCCCGAGATCGGTGTTCTTCGCAAGGTGGTTTGGCGCATCGTCGGGCTGGAAGGCATCGGGCAGTGGCGTCGAGGATATGGCAGCCTGGGGATTATTGGAGAGTTCGCGACTGAAGACGAATATCTCTTTCTGTAGAAGAGGGATTAGCATGTTTCATGCATCGCCTGTGAGAGATTCGTACCTCGGTCAAGAGCGCTTGCAGCTTGACATGTTTGCCTTGTGTTGTGAGTAGGACTTGTTGCTCGGGCGCTATGTCTGTCACCCTCGAGATCCAGTGCTTGAGCGCATCAACAGAAGCAAAGGCAACGGGATCAGCGTCAAGGCGCTGGCCCGTATGAGCTACAGCAATCTGTAGCGACATTCGGCCTTGCCCTCCCGCTTGGTGGAGTCCTGTCGAGACTGTGCAAGAGGAGTTTGTGGCTTGGAGAGTTGAGGCGTGAGCACATGGTTACCAGATACCGCCAAGGATGGTTCATGCAGGGATCGGCGCATTAGCGAGGCTGCATCATAGGGAACTAGATAGACGATCGCGTTCGGTCAGATGAACATGGTCTCGGTCGCAAACTTGGAATCACTTGAATCAAAGCGATAGCAACATGGCGGCAAGAGGCCGTGTTGACATGACGGACGTGGCGTCTAAAATACAAGACGCAAGCGACTACGCGGACCTGCTACAAACAAATCACAGCGACGCGTTCGCGTTTTCCGAGGCGGAGAAGCTAGCCCTACAGCTCTACGATCAGCTCAAGGAACTTGAGTTGCAGCACAGTCTTATTGAAGCACAACAATCAGGCACGTCTCACAACTGGTATAGTCTGGGAGTAGAGAATGTTAACTGCGTTTTATAGCAGACGCACATGACGCTTCAGCAACCCCAGATGACCTGCTGGAGGGGCGCCTGACTGTAGCGCAGCGCGAAGCTATGGACGCGAGGGCAGAGTACGAGATAAGGAACAAAATCACACACAACGTGCTAGTAATGGATCCTGTCCTGAAAGCCGTTTATGAGGGCGAGCAGACTGGGTTTGCAGAGAAGTGAGTTATCGCAAAGACACTTCTGGATCATGGTCTGATGTTGTGTAGACGCATACTGCCGCTGGTCACCGAGAATGATACTGTTTTCATGATGCATGGTACTCTGACGTCGAGGCTTGCTCACACAACTCGGTCGCAGAGCACAGCCGAACACAGCAACATGACGGAAAACCAAAGACATGAAGAACTCGCAGAAACGATGCTTGCTCTAGCTGAAGAGATGAAGACGCAGTCGGCGCATGACATTGAAGACGCACAATTACGCCAACGAGTCGATGCAGTCGACAAGGAGCTCAAGGACTCAAGGCGAAGGGCGAAGACGCTGAAGGGTATATTGTCGGCCATGATAGTAGGCAGCGGGATCAATTGGGCTGCAGACGAGGGCCTGACCGAGCTCGTCTTGGAGGATGAAGACGATTGAGTGACAATGACAGGGCCATTCGTGGCTACAGCTCTTGATAACATTGGGAAGTGTGGGAGAAGCTACTGTGGTAGGTAGCGATGTTTGTTGATGATGAACGTCATGGCTGTTGCCAGGGCGATGGATCTACATGGAAGCACACGGAAACTTTCAGAGCAAGCTGAGTGCCTAGCATTTCTAGGTGAATGAAGTCGACTTTTTGACCGTCGGACGTGAGCAGTGGTCGAGTTGCGTCTTGGGTGAACCTAGTGACGGCTTCCGAGCTCGGTCCGGGCGCTGTGAATAGCCAGACCGCTGTGGCCGGAAGCGGGTGCAGAGGCCGCCGCCCATGACCATGGCGTGCCTAGGCATTGAGGGAGACGACTACCACGGGCTGTGGTGCAGAGCGTGGCATGCGAGGCAGGCTGACATGTTGCTTCATGGTCTTGGGCAGCTGCTAGGAACATCAAACGGGCTGCAGGACGGACATAGTCTGAGGGGGCGGGCAGGATGCGCGACTGGGACTGGATGCTGGGTGCTTTGGTGCTCGGGGAAGAACATCAGCCAGCCGCGCTATGAATGATAACGTCAAGGGCCGCCTCTGATGGATGCGTCCAACGAATGGTAGAGCGTGTGCTTCTGCGTGCAATCTAACCAAACTTGAAACTCGCCAGGAAAGAACGAAGGGCAGCGCCTCCGCGCCCAGGGATGCGCCGTGTAGCCCGCCGCCGTGCAAAGGAGACGACGGCGACGAGCAGCGCAGTCTTCTGGCGACTGACGCGGACGCGAACGTGTGCCATGTCAAAGAGACACAGCGAAGCCATCCAAGACTGCCGTCGTCCGCACTGTCGCATGCGGTGAGGGAGCGCAGCAGTGGTTGGATGAAGGAGGGGTTGTGGTCCGGGTGCGTGTGCTATGGCAGTAGCAAAACAAGCGTGCCTGCCTCGTTCGTACCTTAGGTAAGCAGCTCTGTTGTTCGGGGAGGCGCGCCTGCCCTCTCACAAAATGTGCTGCTGAGCCCTCACCCAATTCCTCCCCTAACAAATCCGCCGCCCATACAACTTTCGCCCGCAAAGACATTTGGTGAGTCCGCCTGTATTTTGCCCAAGTCGCAACCTCACCAGAATCACTTTTCGCAACCACACCCTTTTTCCACGCGTTCCCCCGCCCCAATTCCCCCAACTAGCTCTTTCCCAGCCTTCTTTCTTCCATCTTCCGAACGTCATCGCGTTCGATTGATTCTTCGTCGCCGTCGCCAGCACTCAATACCACGCCCATACTGACTGCAAAACAGACATCAGTCAACCCTTCCAATTCCCTCGTATCTAGCAGCTTCTGTAAGTACCCACATCTTCTCTCACTGTAAAATCGCGCATCACCGCCTTGTGTTGTGGTGTTTTGCAACCGCGTCACCTCACGCGCATAGCACCACTGCGACCCAACCAGCAGCTAACAACAAACAACAGCCGCATACACCACCTAACCAACATCATGCCCAAGGAGAAGACCACCCGCAAGGCCGCGCCCAAGTCCAAGGCTGATGGCGGCAAGAAGAAGAAGGGTACGCATCTCACGTGCATCCGCACGCTTTCGTGCTAACATCCACAGACCCCAACGCGCCCAAGCGTGGTCTTTCCGCATACATGTTCTTCGCCAACGAGCAGCGTGAAAAGGTCCGCGAGGACAACCCCGGTATCAAGTTCGGTATGTCTGCCCTTCATGCTCATCTCCAAGCTTTCTCTAACATTGAACAGGCGAGGTCGGCAAGGTTCTTGGCGAGAAGTGGAAAGCCCTGAACGAGAAGCAGCGCACTCCCTACGAGGCCAAGGCTGCTGCTGACAAGAAGCGCTACGAAGAGGAGAAGGCCGCTTACCAGGTATGTTTCTGTATTCACGTGGAGATTATGACAGCATGACTAACAGCTATCAGGCCGGCGAGGAAGAGGAAGAGGAGTCCGAGTAGAGGCCAGCACCTCATTCGTGCTTCCACCAACAACGCTGAAGATGTCTTGTCATAGGAGGCCTAGGCTACCAAGCCTCTCTCATTTCATTTGTGATCTTCCTACTTCTTAATGGGTTCGTTATCTCTTGCGGAGGAAGGTCTTCGGCTAGCCGATCTGTGGTTCATTTCGATAAGGACGGCCGCAGTCAGTACCATTTGCGCTGATGGCGGGCGGTCATGATGTTTGGGCGTCTTACTCTTGACGTTGTGAAGGAACATCACGAAGCTCATGACCAAGTCTATGTACACTAGCAACTGCGGTATAGAAAATATTTGCTGCTCCTATGGTAACTTGTCTGCTATGCGATAGTGATACTCCTGTGATTATGCCTGAGCGTAGCACGGTGCATGCTCGTGATAGCTCAAACCCCAACTTGGTTCCTGATGTTGACACTACTGTCTTGCCTCATGTTAGGGTCAGGGCATGACAACGTGATGGACCCGTCCTATCCACAGCAACCCTTGGTTCCTTCATTCCAAGCGACGTGTAGCCGTCATCCTACCCTACACAGCCCAACCGGGTACCCGCATCCATGGTAGTTGTTCCTTCCCAGGCTTCTCGTATGTACTCCCATTGTCTCTCACCTTCTCAGTGCGCCCACCCAATTACACATTGTGTATATGATACTTTCAGTCCGACGCTCCTTCATCAATTTATCGTAGCACCAAAGCGCCGTTGGGCTAGTGGTATGCTATCGCCTTCCCATCAAACGAAGGAGGCGGGGATCACGGGTGTAAGTACATGGACGACGCCCATTCGAATCATAGAGCTAACAGCGAGACAGTCAAACCCCGTACGGCGCAGTGCTTCCTTTTTGCTGTAATAGTGAGGTATGTGGGGTTGTTTTTGCCATGGGTGTCGCGTGGGAGTGAAGGTCTGAGGATGCTGAGGAAATGGTGGTCGATGTCATTGTGGCAGAGGTAAGGAAGGCGCGAACAGCAATGTGGCTTTGTTGGAAATCATTGGATTTGTTCGTTGGAACAAAAGGGAAGGATGTTAAGAACCTGATGTATAGTTTGGAGACCTTGAATCAAAGCATACGATGGGCTGTAGCTGCGCAGTAGTGGGTATATCTATTTTTTCGAGTCTGGAACCACCAGAACATCGTTGGGTATGGTCTGCACGCCTTGCCATCTTACGGCAGCAGATGAGCATGGAATAGGTGTTGGGTACGAAGCACGTCAACTGCACTCGTCCCACGCATCCTGTCCACATGCCCGTCAGAGACAAATATCTCGAAACAGAGGAAGATCCTCTACCATCACGCAATTACTATTCTCTCTGCAGAACGACCATCACACCCATCATACCTAACATGACCTGCTTCAGCCATGGATGCTCGCTCAGCAAAATGGTAACATATCCGACAAAAGGTATGAAGCCGACAACGCTTCCGATGACGTCTTCTTTGCGGTTCAGGAAGGACTGGCCGGCGGCGTAGAGTTCGGTATCGTCTGCAAGGTTATTGTCGCCCTTGGTCAGGAGGCGGAGGGGTGTTTTGCTAGGAGTCAAGTCAGCCTGAGCATATGCAAGCTGAGCCAAGCTTCTTCAGCCCTCCCCAACAAACACAGCCAGCGCAAAGATAAGAAAACGTAACTTACCCTCCTCCGTATCTTCTCACGACGCGATGCACGATGGGTATATCTTTGCCCTTGACGTTATATACCACAATCTCGCCCACTTGCGTGTCTGCCCCTCGGTTCCACAAGAATAGTAGATCTCCTCGTTGGAACGCAGGCTCCATGGATCCTGACAAGACGACCACGATAGGTGAGGGCGAGTCGGAGACTACGGAGAGCCCTTTCCACATCATGAAAGCGGTAGAGAGGACCAGCGCAAAGTTTAGGACTTGTGCGGCGAGTTGCCGCGGCTGCATGTTGGCGAGGCCCAGCATTGCTGCGGCTCGGGTGTGTTGATATGGAGGTCGAAGGCAGAGGTACGTTGGTCGATCTTGGTTTGGGAGGTGGAGCGCGCAAGGGCGTCGTGAAGTCGCGTTCTTGGGAGTGTTTATCTGGAGCGATTGTTTTTTCGGAGAGAGACAGAGGCAGACGTCACAGTAGTTCGCGCGTCGTGGAACCGTGGTCAAGAATGTTGAAGCCAGATTGTCCTTGGATTCGCTGTTGCGGGCAGCTTAGTCAACCTCCGAGATCTGAGCTATGAACTCCGCATCCCCTTCTATCACTTGAACGCGATACCACGCTATATACTTCGAGATAGCAGCACCTATCTTATAAGCTGCCGCATCGCTATGCATCATCTAGTAGACGCTCTTTGGGTTTCTGTAGTGTGTGAAAGTTTCTCAGATCTGTTCTTGTCTCTCACCTGGCATGGCGGCTCTTGCTCGAAGCCGCCTTTACACCGAGAACGTGTCAACGCCATGTCTACTTATATCAGGTTTCCATTTGATCAATCGAACGATCCTTCTGATCCAGCCTTTCTCACTCACTCAGAAGACACGTGTCTGAGCTACAAGTGTCACTGCCTCTACATACCATCAGCGCTACTCCTACTCCGCTGACTCACGAAACACAATCGCGATACTGCTTCAGAAGAATAATGTTTATGCATCCTTCACCAGGTAGCCTTGTACAATACGGAGCGTCCGGGATATTCCTTCCACTATGGCCGGCAGTGATTTGTACAGATGACATGGCACCAAAAGAGGTTATGCGCGCCCGCCCGGCTGGGTACGTAACGCTGCTGTTGAAGTTGGGCGACAATTTAGAGTTGTAAGAGCCTAGAGATCTTGAGGGATATTTTAGCTTCGCTAATATAAGTAGTCGCTGGGCGCTTACCACGGAAATGAGCAACTACGATCCATTCGTACCCTTCAGGCACGAAGAGATTGTGGGTAACACACCCGGCTTGGGTAACGCCTACGAAATGGCGAACAATGCGCTTGAAGCATCACTGGGTCTCGATTACTGGCGAGAACAAGTAACGAATACGACCAGCGATGCTGAATATTCGGAAAGTGAAGCAACTGATTCAGATGGAGACACATGCTCGGAACCAGAAA